GTGATTCATAAATGCATGTTTAGATTTAGCAAGCTTTCTGACAATGTAAATAAACTTAGTATTTCTGTTTAAGCAGTCTCAGCCATGGGTGATTTAGTTAATGGCACTTCTAGATTAAATTCAGCAACATGCCTCCCCAAAAGGGGAGAGGGGGATCTTAATCTCTTTATAGATGTTAAGTCTAGATGATATAGAAATAGCTTTATTTTTTTCCATTTTTAGTTTTAAAATTATGCAACCATAATGAGAGAGAATTTTGAAGAGAAATCACCCACAAAACCACCCACCTTTCACATATTACTTATAATTACAATCATAGCCTAGAATAGTTTGTGGTATCTTGGTTCCTTAATGTACCAAACACTCCTGTTTCTGTCTTCTGTCTAATGTTCAAATATCTCTTAATAGGTATGATTTTCCTCCATTTTCCTTTCTACCCTTTTAGGCACTTTGATTTTATTTATTTATTTGCTGGTATAGATAAGATGCTTTGAATATCTTTGTATCTATAGCATTTAAAATTTTTCCTTAAGAAGAATTCTTAGCAGTGGGAATATTGGGTAAAAGAATATAATTTTACAGCTTGTATAAAGTCATATACGGCACTGTAATTTTATTGTGGGTGGAGTAAAATTGTTAGGTATTCAAATTGTTAGGTGTTCAAATTGTTAGGAATTCGTCTAGAGACCTGGGAATCCCACTTTAAATAAACTTTGAGATAAGAGATAATTTAAATTTTTAAAAACAAAATCTTATGTGTATTTAACAAAATCTCAGAAGCAGGAATAGGAATTTAGAGATTATTTAGTTCAACTCATCAAATGATATGTGTGTGGGTGCCCATGTTGTACTCTTGGATTTGAAGGACTTTACAAAGTAATATAATCAAATAAATCTAGGGGTATATAGATTGCTAGGATGTTTTAAATTGTATATTAGGGAAGAATATGATAACTCTCATTGAGATTCAGTTTGTTTTGTGTAGCTCCGTGGAAGAAATTTAGAGACAGATTTTAGGATTGGTATAAAGAAGTCTCTAATAACTAACTCTAAAATAAGTCTCTAATAAATAACTCTTAGAAATAGCCAACAGTAGGAAGAGATCTCCAGTGATGAGTTTTGAGTCACTTGAAATATTCAGGTAAACTTGGTATCTACTTGGAATATTCATGTGTAAGTTTGGGGTTAAATCATATGAGTCCCTTCTTGCCTTGTGACGCAGGTAAAGCTTTTTGGTTTAGACAGATCAGTTTCCTGACCCCCCATAGGACTGAAATTCCTCTTCCATTCCCTTAACCTAACATTTTTAACCTGTTAGAGTCTTACATTTGTGAGACTTTCAAAGACTTCTTTGCCTTCATAGGTCAAGCTATTTTTTCCTGTCTTCATCTACTTAGAACAGGAAACGTCTTATAAGCAGTGTTTTCAATTCCTGAAACGCTGAAAACACAAACACAAAAAGATTTTTCTAGGACCGTTTTGTTCAGTTGCTGAGTCCTTAGTCTTCTTTGTGATCTTACCCAGGATACATTAATTAGAAAATAATACCAGAAAGCTCAAAGGTGTAGATTTTTTTTGTTGTTGGGGGAGGGAAAAAAAGAGGTTGGTAATTATTAGAGTAAGTTAAAATATATATAAAAACAAGATATATATGTCTTTATGGAAAGATAGTAAGGAACAAGTATCTGCTCTCTACCCTTTCATCCCCACCCCACAAAAAAAACCTTTAGGTCTGATTTTTTAAAAATTCTGCTCCTTTTGATCTTGAGGATTTGAAAAGGAAACCCTCCTCTGTTTTATCTTTTTTGTATTTGATGTTGATTACACAACAGCTAATTTATTTGTGAAGAGTTGCTTTTTAGTTTTGATGCTGCCATACAATATTGTATTGATACTTTTTTTCTAATAATTGTATCAAAACCATAGACTTTTTGCCTGCCCACTGCATTTGAGATAGATTTTATTTAGGGCTAGAGAATTTATTGCAGGCTTTGATATTCATCCAAGTACCATACTTCAATTTGTCCTTTTCTGCCTCATCCCCACCCCCACATTGTACATTCCTACCCCCCCCTCCCCTTATAATGAGTTACAGAGTACAGGAATGATGCCTGATTAGATCAACTCTAGGTAAGTGTCCATTTAAGGAAGAAGAGAAGCCAAATTAATTGATAAATTGAATTTTGGGCCGTAAGGTTGTATTGTGTACATAATTAATACATTTAAGATCCTCTGTACTTCAAAAAACATTAAACCTGCTTCTGTTTTTTTTACCTTTTTTCATGCAAATGAATGAGTATTTTGCAGTGTTATGTGTTCTGCAGTGAATTATTAAAGGATGATTTTTTTGAACTCCTTTTTATTATAGGTAAAATAATTATGGGAAATGTGTAACTATGTTCCTGTCATGTGTGTTACTATTTGATATAGCAATTCCTTTTTCCATATATTTTCCCTTGCCCAATTAAACTGAAGAAGTATGCTTTTTGAAAATAAAGTTTGGAAATTATATAGAATAAAAAGTGACCTTTTGAGACTTCAACATTCAACTTAACATTTTAACATACATAACCTTTTGAACATTCTGATTAATAAAAGCTGTAGCAAAGGACTTGATAATGCTTTCAAAGAATAGCCCATGAATGACTATGTAATTGTTTCCTTGGCCAGCCTTGGGCTACAGCATGACTCCCATTTTAGCATTGCAGCACCCTGTGCCATGTCACAGCGATTGGGCTAGTTTGATATTTTTTTTATTTGTGGGAAAATGGCTGAATAATGTTCCAGTAGCAACTACTACCTTTGACAATCTTTGATAGTGAATTGTGGGCTTTAACTGATGGCCTATTCATTGTATATACTGTACTATAGTGAAGAGGGAAAAAATACAATCCCAAATAATAACTAGTTGTTTGGGGACTTGACTCATAATGTCTTCTGCCCATATTCTCATCTTGTGTCTCTGTCCCTTTCCTCAATTATAAATTTCCAAAGCACTTTCTTCTTGTCAAACTAAAGGAGATCAACAGTTTTTTAACTTTGATTTTATTTGTATTTATTTTATTGTTCTCTTGACTGAATACTCACATAACCAAAGTGAGTAACATGTTTGTTAAAATGAGTAGCATGTTGGAAGCAGTTAAGCTGAAGGCCTTGGCCAGCATAATGGGCACCATTTAAATTTTCTTCTTTGTTTAATGAAGGAAAATATGAAGTTTTGAATTTTGTTGAACTACTGCTTTTTGGGTTTTTTTCTTTTGTTACCAGTCCCTTCCTCCCTTCCTCTCTACCCCCAATTCACTTTTGTTTTTACTTTTCTTATTTTGGGAGAAAGTTAAAAATAAACTGGTGTAGAACTTTTCCTCTATCCTCTTTCTCTCTCCTTCCAATCTTTCCCTCACTCCCACATTTACGTCTCCATTTCTTTTCTCCTCATTTGGAGT